TAGTAGTTGAGTTTCTTTTTAATGATTTTGTTCATAGACACCAATACGACAGTGTGCTGGTGCTAGAGCAAGGAGGGAGTGGGTAGAGGGAGAGAAGGGGACAGTGATGGGGACAGGCAGGTAACTTCCCTTTATACTACACATGAGGAAGCTTGCATGATCAGGCAGGTAGCCTCTTTTCATTACTTGCTTTCCCACCTCCTTGCTGGATTTTGCTGTTTTGAAGACCTGAGCAAGAGGTTGGGACTAGGGCAATACTCTCAAGCCTCTGCAGAGGCTTTTGCTGATGAAGGGGAAGCAGTGGGTTTAGTACTGGGCTGTAGGCAGCTGGCCTGCCTCATGCATGCTCACACTCAGTCTTGTTTCTAGCCTTCTCCAAGCTATTGCCTTGTTAGCTCCCTGTTTTGTGCACCTTTGGGTGCCCTTCTCTAGTTGCTTCCCTTTCTCATGGAAAGCACTATTCCAAATGTTAGCAGAGACCACACTGGACTGTAAATTTCTTTCTAACTGTAATTCCTCTTGAAATATTTTTAGTGTTTTTTTTCTACACTTCAGAAAGCATATGGTATCCCACAAGCATGCAGTACCACTTAGATTTTCAAGGTATCCCTGCACTCACAGATTAAACAATTCATCGTTTTTGAGAATCTGGCTTTTATACACCTGACTCCTTACTTTACCCAGCATGATGTCCTTCTCTAGGAATTGCTGCCTTTTGATAACTTGTCAAAATTACATTAGTGAAGTCCTATCGTCTTTGCTTCCCTGGAGAATCCGTACAGCCATACATTTAATACATATTTCTGGAAGTCTATGATATGTATATTGAATACTCTCTTCCAACCTGATAATTGAAATTCATCAATTTTTCTAAAATTTTACATGCATATGAAGTAACTGAAAATACTATGGCTTTGGTCAGGAGCATTTTACGCTGCAAAGTGATGTCTTTAATTTTTAACACTTTAAAGCAATGGACAGGAACAGATATGTCCACTGCAATGCTTTATTTGATATCTTGAATGTTGTTACTATGGATATTAATTGTTTATTCAAGTAAAGCAAAATAATTGATAAGTTCAATCTTGTGTCTGTTTATTATAAGTGTATCCCATTGTGAAATTATTTTCTTTTATGTTGAAGTGCAATCCATAGTTTATGATCTTCATCAGTAACTACTTCAAAATGCTTCAAAGATAAAACTGGGTTAATTGGTGAAGTTAATGAGAAGAAGGTGAAGCTTTTATATTTGAAAAAAAACTAATTGGAATAATTTTGGATGGCATAAAACACGCTGAAGCAACAGCAAATAAAATCGACTGCTGCTAAGTGGTCCTAAAAGAAAGATGATAACTGCTTCATCAGATCTTTGAAGCTGTCAGCTTTCACTCAGTGGCAGTGAGGTGTTGTTTGAGGATCTTTCCAGAAGCCTATTCCTTTCATCTCCTGAGGACCTGAGAGCATCTGTTGGTGTTTCAGGTACCAGCCCCACGTTTGACCTACTAGGCTACTTAATTCAAACCCTAGAAAGTGAAATTCCAGGAGAGGAGCCAACATAGAACAAAAGCAATATTCATAGAAAGAACTGTCAAGAATTTTTCAGGCGAAAAAAGATGTCAACTGAGATAGTTTATTGTGCCAGCCTGGCCGATAAACACAAGTGGGATTAACTGAAGGGCGGAGAGATAAATGGCTCGATGAGCCTCGCCTTTCTTGTCTCTCACTCTTTAATCATCGGACCAGTGTGCGCTTCCTTGCTTGTTCTGTGCCTCAATTTAAAGGCTACACTACCTGTGGGACGCATTGCCTGTGGACTGTGTCGCTGTAAGCTGAGGTCCTTTTAAGACATCTCTGGAACTGGGAACTGGCGGTTGGTGACCTGGCTGACAGTTGGTGACCTGCCTTGCAGTTGGCTGCTGTGCTGAGATAGCCTAGCTCTCTCTATAAATAGAGGAAGATCTGGCAGCAGACTAGACTTGAAGGACTGCTAGTGTCTCACTACTCTCTCATGGGAGTGAGTTGCACTGAGCCATTTGTAGTGCTTTATAATTTAACTGTTTATTTCTTATATTATATATCTATGTATCTGTATATAATGTAACAGTTCATTTCTTGTGTTATATAGCTATCTTTATAAATAAATATATAAAATTATCAGCAATCTGGTTTTATCTCTCTAGAGACCCCTGTCTAACACATCAACCCATAGGGTTGTCAGTGAAAACTAAGAAGTAAAATTCAAATTAAAACCACACTCCATGGTCCCTTCACTGAAGATGCCTGAAATGATACACAGGCAGAATAATTATGCATATTAAACTCTCAATAATGGGTTTAGTTTATATTTCTATTTTTAAAATAAAATGCAAAATGTCACTTTATTTTTTTTAGAATATGATTCTGAAAACTACACCTACCTAACAAATCTGAAACAGGTAATGAGGGTTCATTTAAAATGAACAAGGCTCTCAAGAAATTAAAAAACAGCAGATTTTATACATCAGATTGCCAATGAATTGGAAGCCCTAAGAAGAAAGGATTGGATAATATTTAGGATTTCAACTGACTTTCTTACAGTCTGCCATTCCAAGGCAAAGGAAAATATATGTTGTAGTTTTCCATTCTGTAGAAAAAAGTACCACAAGCTTAGCATGTTAAAAAGCATGTATTTATTATAACAGAGTTTCTGTGAGCCAGAATATGGGGTAATGTTTAGCTCTATGTTCTGCAGAACTTTAAGATTTCATGATATCATTAATAGCACATGCAAGCAAATTTTTGTTGGAGATCATTTTTTAAATGATTGCAACAGTACACCCACAGAGAATGGCTGGAAATTCAAGCTGGATCCAGAAAACACATGGCATGAGGGCTATAATTCCTGATGTTTGATGGGTCTTGACTAAAAAGGGAATATCAGAAATATGTTTATTTGTGTATTATTGTCTAGGAATTTGATCCTGTGTGTAATAACAAACTATGGATAACTTGGTGAAGATTACAACTTGCTGAACACTCTCATATGCTATGCAACGCTGTATATAGACTAAGCGTTCTTAGAACAGAACCAAGGAATACTGCATGGATTAAAATCAGGAAAGGTGTGCTTCATGCTTGTATTCTTTCACTTCATTTAAGATGAGCAAATAATTCAAGAATCTATTATCTATCTATCTATCTATCATCTATCTATCTATCTATCTATCTATCTATCTATCTATCTATAACAGAATGTAGCATACGGAAGGTTTACAAACAAACTACAGCTGGCACAATAGAGCTTGCTGAAATCAAAGAACTGGGAGCACTTGCTAATGAAAATCAAAGCACAACAGTTTTAACAATAAATTACATCTCAATATAAAGAAAAAGAAACCCCAATTCCTCTGAATTGAACTACCAAAATCATCATTATAAACAGTTAAAAGATCAAAGTTGTCAAGGACTTCATTTTATGAAGATTTATAAACAATGATCATAGAATCAATAGTCAAGAAGTCAAACAAAAATACTGCAAAGGGAAAATCCGCTGCAGCAGATCTCTTTAAAGTGTGTGTGTTTTTAAAGCCAAGATGAATTGATACATTTGAAGTACAGTGGGGGCAAAACATACTGAAAGTACCAGTGACCGCCATATGATCAAACAAGTCTACCTTGAAAGAAGCACGGTCAGATGTTCCTTAGAAGCTACATGCCATCTCCCGTACTTTCAACATATCATCAGGAGACGCAAGTTCCTAGAACCATAAAACAAGTTCTAGAGAGCCCAAACTCAACTTTGAGTATATTCTACCTGAAGTTAGAGTCCTTGCTACGAGCATTTTTTGTAAAGTGGAGGGTCAGCAAAAGAAAGGTTCTTGACAAGATGGGTTGTCACAATAACTATAACAATGGGGTCAAGCATATCAACAATTGTGGGGTTGGCACAAAGCAATGCAGCATTTTACTATCTTGTACATAGGGTCAATATGGGTCAAAATGGACTTGGTGGATCCTAAAACCAAAAATTACTTGGGTAGATGCATATATAAGCATGCAGGTTTAACAGATGACAGTAGAAAAGTGCCACTGTACCAACTAATTATATTTATATAATTATATATTCATTTGCACATAGATATTTATCTTTGATGAGAATACATACATGGGGTTAAAGTTATAAAAAAGTCTTAGGCATAATTAAACGTGTTCGGAGTCACTGGGCCTAAGTGCTCAGGATCATGATTTTAGGAGACACCAAGGTCAAATGACATAGCATAGTCCATCAAGACAATATTTTACATCCTATTTTATGAATAATAAATGGAATGTTAAAAGCTTGGGAGTGCTATTCTCAGTTGCAAATATTGGTATCTCACAATCTGAAGAAAAGAAGAGTGAAAAACATTGAGGACACATGGAAATATTAGTCCAAAGGACTAATGGACCACCCAGACATCATGTTCCATGGCTCTGAGACCAGATGAATGAATTAATTCCTCCTCTTACTACCAACCCTTCAGAAAGGGATCACATTAGAAGGTCCTGGACAGAGTGAGAGAAAACTCTGGAAAGAAAACTAAAAATCATAAAGGAGATAAAGATTACTGGTCATATAGAGACTGGTGGAAGCCATGAGACTATGACCCTTAGACACCTTTTAGATATGAAAATGAACTTATCCCCAGTCCTCAATTTTCACCCGAAAACTAGACAGACCTATAGAACAAAATCATCAGGGGAATATGTACACCTTATAAGAATTAACTGCTTGAGATCTAAAGGGCAGTATTTTTCCAAGGACAAAGTTCAGAAGGGATAAGAAAGAAGGAGGAATGAAAATATAAAGCTCTAGGAGGACGTGAGATAGTGATGTTACATCAAAGGGATTCCAATGAACAAGAGGAAACAAATGTATATGAATTATTGGATGTAAAACTGATGTTGTCCTCTGCAAACTTTTACTCAATTCATAATAAAGTATTTTTAAAAATAGTATATCTTTACAGAAGCAAATTCCTTTACTTCTTTAAGAGCAGTGCAGCTCTTTTTATTGACTCATTGAAAGCCTGTTTCACTTGCTTGTTCCTCAGGGTGTAAATGAAGGGGTTCAACATGGGAGCAATGGAAGTCGTAAGTATTGATACACCCTTATTAATGGCCACTGAATTTTTTGCTGAAGGTTTGATATACATGAAGATACAGCTTCCATAAGTGATGGAAACCACAATCATATGGGAAGAGCAAGTAGAAAATGCCTTTTTCCTTTGCTGGGCAGAAGGGAAGCGCAAAATTGTCTTGATGATGTATACATAAGAAAGAACAACACATACAAGGGTCACAATAAAAGTCAACACAGCACAAACTATGACCACCTGTTCTATGAGCCATGTTTCAGAGCATGTGATCTTTAGCAGAGGGGATATATCACAGGCAAAATGGTCAATGATATTAGAGTCACAGAATTCCAGATTTAGACCCAAGCTGACTGGCGGAACTAGGATCAACAAGCCAGCTGTCCAGCAACCAACAACGAGCCTTCTGCAGACCTTGGTGTTCATGATGGTCACGTAATGCAGGGGCTTGCAGATGGCTACATATCGGTCATAGGACATGGTCGCCAGGAGAAAAAATTCCGTTACAGCAAAAAGGTCAGTGAAAAAAACTTGAACAACACAGTTATCATAAGTGATGGTCTTGTCACCTGTTGATATGTTGTAGAGGTACCTGGGAATACATGCAGATGTAAATGAGATTTCCAAGAAGGAGAGATTTTGCAGGAAAAAGTACATGGCAGTTTTAAGGTGAGAACTGATGAAGGTGAGGGAAATGATTGTCAGATTCCCGGTCACACTCAGCACATAGGTAACGAATAGAAAGAGGAAGACCACAACCTTCAGCTGTCGGTCATCTGTCAGTCCCGTCAGGATGAAAGTGGTGACTGTGTGGTTTCTCATAATTCACTTCTGATTTGTCCTCAATCCATATTGATAAGGAGAGATGTGTGCTATGAGGACAAAGATGATGATATGATATATCAATAACTTATGACCCAACAAATTGCGTAAACAATCTCAACTACAATGTTGCATTATTTTGGTTCTAACTATTAGTTACTACATTAGTAGAATTGATTCCAAAATTCCAATGTTTTAGTAATTTCGGTTAATAACTTAAAAAAATCTAATTACTTGATTGATACCACACTTGAACACCTTTTCATGTCTTTTTTTACTGCTTTTTACATTCAATTTATATTTTATTTATATCTACACATTACATAGGGAATATCCCTAGAGTTATATTGGATTATAAACTGAAAATAACTTCTAAAACAAAATCTTGCACTTACAATTCTTAAGCAATTTTATGCAGAAAATATGTAAATTTGTTATTTTAAAATGTCTGTTTTTCAGGGAATCCAGGACAGATAAAACTCTCAGGACCAAGATTGATAGTAGCCATACCAGGAGGGGAAGGGGAAGGTGGGAGGAGAAGGGAGTACTGATCACAGTGATCTACCTATAAACCCCTCCCAGGGGGATGGACAACAGAAAAGTGGGTGAAGGGAGACATCAGCCAATGTAAGACATGAAAAAATAATAATTTATTAATTATGAAGGGGTCATGAGGGAGGGAGGAGAAGGGAGTACTGATCACAATGATCTACCTATAAACCCCTCCCAGGGGGATGGACAACAGAAAAGTGGGTGAAGGGAGACATCAGCCAATGTAAGACATGAAAAAATAATAAAAATGTATAAATTTTCAAGAGTTCATGAGGGAGGGAGGGTGAAAATGAGAAGCTGATACCACGGGGTCAAGTAGAAAGAAAATGTTTTTGAAAATGATGATGGCAGCAAATATACAGATGTGCTTGACATAATGGATGGATGAATGGATTGTGATAAGAGCTGTACAAGTCTCCAATAAAATGAATTTTTAATAAATGTCTGCTTTCTTTTCTAAACCTTATTCTCATTTCCTCTTTTTCCGTTCTTGCCTTCATGGCTTTCGTTCTAAATATTATACTTATAGTCCAGAACAAAGTGTTTTGATGAGAAACATGTATAGATATTAAGAAATGTTGGATGTAAAATGTTGGATGTTGGTGTACAACATCATAACAACAGTCTTATATCAAATTTAAATACGAATTACAGTTGCCAGTAAATGTTTGCTTTCACTCTTATTCAGTTTTGCCATCTATAAAATTGAACTACTAATAATACCTATTATATACTTGTGTTGAAAATTTAGCACAGATAGATAGATAGATTAGGGAGAGACACACACACAAAGGAATCTGTAAGAGCTGAAACGCTAGGTATTCCCAATTTTCAGCCTTTGGCAGAATGTAGTCCTATCACTTTCTGTTGATCTCTATTGGAAATATTTTAGTTCTTATTCTCTAAAAAGTTTCCAACTTTTATTGGTTCCAAATTCCCTAGGTTTTACTGTCTACAGAACTTAGAAAAGTGCCAGGCTCCTAAGGACAGATCTATGTTCATGATCAATGACCTGATCCATAATGCTTTTCCTTTGTTAATCCCTGTCCATGCACTCTTCCTCACAGGCTTTGCCTCTGCTTTTCAAATGAAATGGCTTTTTTAATTCTATCAAGACTTCTATTTTGGAATACAATATTAGAATATTCCAACGTGAAATATATCTTTGACCACACACTATGCACAACATTTTTCATAACTTACCTCAACTTATTGAATTACAATTTCTTGGTATTTCTTTTCTTGCTGGTCTCTAGAATATTAGTATTCCTCAGTTTTGTTTCTTAAATACAGTGTCAGTGTATAGTTTCCCAAAGTCCTAATTCTTAATCTCCAAATATTAATGCTCCCCTGAATCTTAGGGATATATTCATAAAACCGCACATTTCCATCCTACTTATCTCCTTTGTTTTTAAAATCAAAACAGTATGTTTGAGTCGGTAGTAAACTACTTTTAATATATTATATATATTTGTAGTAGTATAACCTTTGATTTCTCATTGTTCCCCAAATCCAGATTCTTCAGGATGTAAATACATCATGAATGGCTTTTAGTTTAACTATCTCATCCCCTGTTATATTGATAAATTTATCATTATTATTCCCAGTGGGTGTCATTATAGCAAGTAATTCTTACCAATATCTTATATTTATTCTGAGTATATACATTATTTTGAAATTGGGTTTCTTTTTTTAACATCAATAGTGCCTCCAATAACACAGTTCCAATACCTAAAATACCTTGGCAAAAAAGCCCTCGAATTTTCCACAAAAAAGTCTATAATTTCCTCTTTGGAGTCTAACTGATATAATATTGGATTTACTATGTATTTGAGTTTAACATCTTGAGTTTGGGGGTTGGGTGGTGAAGAACTTTTTTTTTTTTCTGTTAAAATAAGTCTTATCTGTAAGAAGCACTATTATGAATATATTTATTACTTACTGCTTTAACTCTTGACAAAAGTGATGACTGACTTATCCTTCACTTATTTATCAAACAGAACAGAAGTTTGCATATTCATTGATGTTGTGTTTACCTCTCCGATTCATCTCTCATCAGGATATTAAAACTAGAACCCATGGATATTTTTTATTTCTAAATTTGTGACAATGTTTTCTATATTGAGATTTGTGTGTGGCTAGCAAAATGAATATCATACCAGCTATCTAAACATTACCAAAATTTCATGAGTAGTTCCCCACAAGGAAATTTTGCTTCGAGTCCTCAATGAATTTATTATACATAAAGTTTCTATTTACTTTAAAATATCCCTAAACTTCAATGGTGCCTCAGCTCTGACCATGTGTCAAAGTTCTAGAATTAAATCTCACAAATTGCTACCACTCTCCTAGAGAAAGTATATGTACTTGTTTATGATTAGTTTGAAAGCTGGAAGAATCCTGAGAATGTTGACCCATACTTGGTATCTGCAAAAGACCAACTTGAGAAGCAGTGAGGGACGATGTGTGCATCCCACCTGCATCCTGGAATTGGCTGCTTCTTAATGTACAGAGGCCCGCGCTTCTCTATGGTTTCAACCACAACTCTGTTGAGTAGTGCTCATCTCTAAAAAGTAAATTTTATTTCAGCAGTTAAACTTTATCTCCATGAGAACTCTGATATTACAGTGCAGATATTGATTAAATGCTTCATCTGATTACTAGTAACTAAACGACTCTGGGGGTGCAGTGGTTAAGCACTTGGCTGCTTATAAAAAATCAGCCTTTCAAACCACAGGAGAAAAATGTCATGCTCTGTTCTGTCAAGATTACAGCCCCGGAAGCCCAAGGGGCAGCTAAAATCTGAGTCAGAATCAACTCAATGGCAACATGATTACTATTTATATTCGATTTGAAAAAGTCTTAAATCTTAATTATTAGCGAGAGTGTAAATTGGATTTTTTACTTCTCATATGGGAGCTATTGATTCTTCATTCCACTCCAGTTATACTACCTTTAGATGATCTACTTATTGTTACATAAAACTATCATATCAATTGAATTTACAGTTTGAGAGGAATGCACTCCAAAAAGTCATTTCATTAAGATTCACATTAAAACTAATAATATATCTCAGTTCTATATCATCAGAAAATATCCATTTTCCAGACACAAATGTGACCCTTTCCCACAAAAGATAGTGAAATTAAAATGACAGAATTTATCTTAGTTTAAGCTTCTGGTTGTTAACCAATACTTCCTTCTATGAATTGCTTAACTACAATAAATCTTACAATTAAATATCTGGAAATCAATGAAATGTTAAAAATGTACATGCAAATTTTTAAGCCCTACAGATTAAATCCACACCTATAATTATAACAATCTTGATGACTTTCATTTTCTACCTTCATAAACCTCCTGATAGCTGCTGTGCTGTCATTAGGCCAGGATACGCTTTCTTTTACGTTTCGTCACTGAAAACAACACTTGTTCAGAAGACCTCTCAGTCGTCTCCTAAAGAACTGATGTTTTTAAGTGGGTTTGCTAAGAAAGAGGGTTTTCTAATTTCAGTTTTGTTCGCCAAATCTGCAACATAGACTAAAGAGTCCTCTGTGACCTACGTTCAAAAATTACTAATGAATCATCAGTGTAATGGGGATAAAAAAGAAACTTAACAAAAGCAACAATAGGGACATGGTCTTTAGAGACTGGAGAAAACATGTGAATCATTTAACAGAGACTAGTTGGAAAACAATAAGAATCGGATTTTTTAAAAATCCTAGTAAAGTTGCTCTTTAAAAACAAACAACCAACCTAAATCTTATCTTTAATATATAAGGCAGTTTTAAGGAGTGTGGTAGGTTGACTGCTAACCAAAAGGTTAGTGGTTCAAACCCTCAGTCACTCCATGAGAGAAATATGTAGGCATCTGCTTCTATGAAGATGTTCAGTCTTGGGACCCCATGAGATAGTTCTGCTCGCTCATGTAAGGTTGCTCAGGGTAAGAATCAATGCAATGGCAACAGGTGACTATTTTTTATTTTGTTTGTTTGGTTTGGGTGTTTAAGACATTTGTGCAGATAACACCCCCCTCCCCCCGAAAAAAGACGAAAACCCCTGGCCAAAGAACCAAAATCCAGCTTTTCAAAGAGGTAATGAACATTATTATTTTGGAGCACATCCTTCCATACCCTTTTCCTGCAAATATACACATCGATGTCACATTCACTATCTACAAATACATTAGCACTAAACTGAAAATATTTATACCTGATACATCTTGACACGTAAAGCTTACTACATGCTGTGTTAACTGAAGACATACAGGAGAGGTCAAAGGTATTGCTACAGGTTTCCAGTTCCCACTTGCAAGGGTTCCTTCCAAACAACACTTATTTGCACGTGTCTTTCTGATCCAGAAATGACTTAAACCAAATTCTTTCAGAAGCAGACTTATCTTAGTGGTTTCAGGATATCTTTTTTAAAAACAGGTCTAATTAAAACAGTGGTTTCCCAGGGGATCT